AATCTAATAACCTGCAGACTCGAGAGTCACCCCGCCAAGGGTTTGCATACCGGGGCATACCTCGGTCTTATCCATCCAGGCACCGAGGTTGGACTCACGTGTTATCAACAACTAGGTCAATTTAACACCCAACGACATGCAGTTCTAAACCCATTCATTTAATTAAGATGGTGGAGTACTCGGTATTTTTCCATCACCCTTTATACATATATACAACTAACCTAAGTGAATATCGAAGGTGTACTCGATATTCCGACATCAACCCTCTCGCATCACACATTCACGCTAATAAGTAAGTTCACGAGAATAAGTACATTCACACTAATAAATACATTCAACACAAGCTGTCCCAATCTTATCTTTTATGTGTATTGTATAATTATTGTGTCAGATATGTAAAAGTACCCGAATCATGTTGTAATTTAAAATAATCCCGCTTTATTATTTCCTTTGTTATTAATTATTATTATATTAAGTGTTATTTCCTTTTGTAATTTTGTAATAGAGTTTGATTATTATTATCAATAACCACAATTTTGAACTGAGAAAATTTTCATCGTTTTGGTTGAGGACATGGGAAAATCACCTAATATATATTATACATTTCGGCAGACTTTTTTAACGCGATCTTTCCAAATATTGGAAAAATGTTAAAAATTCAACTAGGTAATTTTCCTGGCTAAACGCAACGTTGCCTCGAATACTTGTGAGAATAAACCTGACATATACGCAAGTTAGTTTTAAGCAAAAACCATGTCCTTGGTGTTTCAGTATTTTTAAATTACTTATTTGAAATGCGCATATTTGAAAGATAACAATTAGCTTTGATTCTTTTCCACTAATAAACTTGTTGAGTCCTTCCACCACAGGTATAAAGTGGTAAAAAAACGACTTGGCCTTTGGCTTAGTTGACTTGTCGAGTCACCGCATCATCGAGGATAAAAGACCCGCTTGTGTAGATCGGTCACATCACTTTTATTGTTTTTATTTCATGTTTTATTTATTCCATTTATACAATAACGGGAAATGCCCAAGTAGTATAAAATAATTATCAAGTGGCAGATTACAACAGTATACAGGATGGCAAAAACAGGAAAAAATTGGTTTTAGTACATCCTGAATAGAGTGAAATGCAACCAACCGAACGGTTCTATCAAATCCGGTCGGAAGTTATGAATTTTTACATGTTTTTTCAAAAAATCCTGATCTTAAGCCATAAATTGGAAGTTTTTCAAGATGTAGAACATCTCCTCTAATGTTTTTGAAATCTGCATTAAATTTCTTATAAGAAGGACATATTTTCAATCTTATCAAACGCCGATATGTGTTTATCAATTCAACCCAAATTGAAGAATTTTAAAAAAGGAGAAACTATTGATAAATTTACAAAAATAACTGTTTTTCAACAAATATATTTGTACATGTGCCAAACATTATAAAAACTTCGTAATTGAATAAGCTTTCTTATGGTGTAATCGAAATTTCAAAAACGTTAACGGCAAAATCAACATGGAATGTTAAAAAAATGCGGTTCAAACATGCAAATTTAATGCATTCAGTAGAGAAGTGAATTGAGATTTTGAAAAGTTTAAACATTGTTGATGGTGCAGGATTTAAAAAAGGAATGCATTATGTAAGATTATTAAGTCGAAACTATTTATTATGAAATAAAATACTAAAAAAAGAACAGACTCTTTAAAATTTTGGAGAGTACTCGATATTCCTGGGTCGAACTCACTCCATTCACGCTAATAATCACTTTTACTCTCCAGACGTCACACACTCACCCCATAGTACTCGTTACTCGGCGCTAGGTCGAAGTTACTCCATTCACGCTAATAATCACTTTTACTCTCCAGACGTCACACACTCACCCCATAGTACTCGTTACTCGGCGCTGGGTCGAAGTTACTTCATTCACGCTAATAATCACTTTTACTCTCCAGACGTCATACACTCACCCTAGATTACTCGATATTACTCGGGGCGGGGCCGAACCCACTACAGTTACGCTAATAAATTACATCCATTACAATAAATTAACATAAACACAACGCAAACACTGTATACATTGAAAAATCTTTGTAGCCATAAGGTACTTGCTGCCGTGCCCCAAGCACGTCTAATGATCTGCCTATGTATTATATTTTAAAAGGTGAGTTTATTTGAATACATGCGTTTTCATTTGAAACCAACGTATTTTGGCTATTTAGAAAACCATAACTAATATAGACAAAGTTGGGAAAAGCAATTTCAGTGGTATGTTGTATTCGATTGTTTTTAAAGATTTTAAAAACTATTAACAAATTTGTTTATTTTTGTGTGATTTAGTCATTATTTGGGTGATGGAGGAATATCGAGTACTCCATCACCCGAATTGAGTGAAGGGTTTGGATTTGGATCTGCATGCTACTACTATGGTGGTACAGTACTATGGTGCTGACTGGACCTAGCTGTCAGTCTTAGATAAAACCGATGTCTTACCCCGGGCTACCCGAGTTGGTTTGTCGAAGCCAGACGGTAATTTATTTTTAATTTTGCTGGTAGACTGCGAAAACTGATAAGCTCAATTCCGTAAATGTATGTATATATGAGTTTATATTAATCAAAAATCCAAATCCATCGATAACTGGTACAATGGCGAAGTACATTTCTTAAAAAAACATCTTCTTAATGAAGACCTTTTAGTACCAGTGCCACATTTTTGAAATATAAAATTTACGAAACGTATAGTACAGATTTTTTTAAAATTTTTTAAACGCATAGTAAGTATTTATTTTAATTAAATTGCAAACATACTAAGTAAAAACAAAACAATGGTAAAGGGTCATTGTATGGAAATTACTTATAGAAGCAAAAAAGTCCATTTGATCCCACATGAGAACGGTTGTAAACAAACATAAAATTAAAGATATTTTTCTTTTTAGACTTTTTCTTTTTTTTTAATTCCCAATTTGTACTTAAGAAATGCTTATTTATTATTTTAATGAATATATAATATCCTATGCTTCGATTATTTTGTAAACCTAACAAGCATAAATGTTATTAACTCATGAGTTAGGAACAGAGTAATCAAGTTTTAAAAGAAACAAAGCACTCTGGCGGTCGGGGTGTTTTTCATCGAGGAACCTTGGCACTCACGTTTTCCCATTTTCCCTCGTGTGGGTCTGAAAGGGTTTGTAATTTCGTCAGATCTCACATCTAGCATGGAAGGAACGCCCCCGAGGGTCAAGGGCAGCTGGCGTTCATCAAGAAATGAAATCGATGCTCTTCACTGCTGGTCATATTGTTATCTAATCGTGTAGAATTTGCAGACTTTGTTATGGCCGAGTTGTCGGTTGGATTCATCGAGTGGTTGCCCCGTGGGTCAGATTAAATTAACTCCCTGCCCACCTCTGGCCCACTAATTGGTCCGAGCCACTAACTTACTTCAAATCATCCGTATTAGGCTAAAATGTGAGATATCCTCGTCGGTACATTTAATTCATTAGTTTTTCAATAATTATTAGGTCTAATTGTTCATTAAAACTGAGAGAAGGTAGGTTAAAAACGCCTTTGCGATCCACAGGATAAGAAATAAGGATTGGCCTCCCAGATCATCCTATGACTTGGCCTCTCTGAACTGTCTCACAGACACAACAAACAACAAAATTGGGCAGATAGTGTGTTAAATAATGTTATATATTCGAACTATTGATTCAGTAAGGAAGAATAGTGCTCACAAAATTTTCCTTATCAACATTGTTCAAACTTTTCAGTATTGCCTACTGAGATGAATGCTTTGAAGCGTTTTCTGTCAAAATGAACGTTTTCCGAACCAAGTTAACTAATTTTAACTTCAAACGAACCCTTCTTTAAAGCACTTCTTGCATTCCACCGCCAATTTTTGTACTTCATAATAAATTACTGACAGGCCTCGAGTGTTGGCAGTCCGAGGTAGACTTCGGACTTACTCGTCACTGAGGTTGGGCTCCAAGAGCTATCAAAAGCTAGGTCGTCTAAGCCTCCAACGGAATCTGACTCCAGATCCATTCACACTCTCACTTTCTCTTAAATAAACTCTTTCTTACTACATACAACTCCGTTAGGATAGTGGAGATTCGATATTTCTCCATCACCCTCTACACTTTTGTAACAAATCAAATTGAGGGTCGATGAGGTCGATTCCGCCATCGATCTTCTCTCTCTAATAAATACATTCAGTCTCAATATACAAAGAAATACAAGACGAGATTTCTACAAAGTACTACATAACAAAATGAAACAGTCCCTTTTCCTCTAAAATTCGGAACAGGGGAGCCAAAAACTTACATTAGTGCTGAAGCATAATTCTCGCAGGTGGCATTCCTACAAGCGCTCTATATGGAGCCAAGGAATGGCATTCTTTAATTTAATTGCGCAGGCTTCGGCCAAGAAGTAAGTGCCCGGGTGTTAACTTTGCATGATGGCCCTTCCTAGAGTCAGATCCTCCAGGGCCACCTGTCGGCAATACTCTTAATACTTGAGAGCTTCCCTACCGATCCGGTGTTAGGGAAGTGCCGGACTTAGCAGCCTCGTTCGCCTTTTCGTTAAATCCGTCAAGTATAATTTTACTTTATTTTATATTCACTAATTTAGTGGTCCGCTTTACCAATTAATATATTACAATTAATTAAGGTTTTTAGATATGATAAAAAAAGTCAACGGCACGAGCGGGATTCGAACTCACGATCTACGGCTTGATACGCCGCTGCTCTACCACTTGAGCTATCGTGACCTCGATCCACTCGGGCACCAACTTCCCACCTCAACCTCACCATATGTTTATTTTATATGTTTATTAGTAATATAATTGTTATTCATTATTTTATTTCATTTTTTAACTTTTGTTAAACAAGATTGTCTTAAAAAATTAAATGTTTTATTTATCTACATAGAAATGTTCAACTCCACCTTATTACCTTTTTCATTTATTGTTTAAATATTATTTTTAATGTTTAATGTATGTCAATGAATCGTTCCAAAAATTTTAAATTACTCCTGGCCACTGTGGTATTTGTTGTTTTGGCCGAAGAATTTGTATGCCAATGAGGTTGTTTTTAAAAAATATATTGCATAGACATTCCTACTTTCTTTTTCTTTCCGTCTTCAAAGCGTAATCGCAACATTTATCTAACGGTCGACGCCTTTTATCGATAATTTATTTCTGTTTCCTCCGGTTTTTAAAGTTCCACTTACGCAACAAGCGGGCCTTACTGTAATAAAGGGACTAGTCGAGGATCCTCTCGCCGGCTCGGTCGTCGGGTCTAGAAACCTTTGCCACCCTCTTAGAAAATCCTCGAATTTCCATTTCGAAGAGAGATCGCCGGACTTTCCAGTGTTAAAGAGCCCAGGCCATTTACAGCTTGGAGGATCAATGCGTCTCGGTCCTCCGGATCAATGGTCGACCTTGCCCTTCCACTCCACATCGCTTATCTTCTCCGTTCTAACGGTGCTCGTAAATAAAGTCAATAAAACCCTAAAACATAATTGAATTGTTAAATGTTGTGAATCGTTAGCCGGCAGGGACACTTCCGAACACGCTCACGATTATTCGTCGACTGTCCTGGATAACCACATCATACCTTTACCTGAAACTAGACATTTTTTAAGAATTTAAATACATTTTGACTCTATTGAATCATCAGTATGAACAAAAACATATTATCATTACCAAAATATCTGTTTAAGAAAAAAGATATACCTATCGAGGAACATCCTTTGAGCGATATGATAGTTGGGTTATGCTAATTTTGGTTCATTTTACCATTCCATGGTTCAACATCATTCTGTTGCGAATAAAATTCCGTACTTTATATTTTATCCGTAAAAAAACAGGCCGAGCATATCGATTATAACTCTGCTCGTTAAGTAGATAGAGAGGACTGTTGCTAATAATAATTCGTACAACGTTTATGACAGCCATATCTCTGGAATTGATTGTAGGAAATCTAAATATAGAAAGGGTGGACGTCACGTTTCATTCACTATCACATTTGTTTTCTTTCTAAAAACGAAGCCTCTGGCGAAGAGATAAGGGAAAGGCACGTGGCTGACTCCTCGGTCAAAATTTCATAATGGTTTGTAGAAATTCGAGGGAAACTGGACCAAAAATCAGTCAAGGTATTGAATTTGGTATGTAAAATCCATTATTATCACAATTTTGACTAGAAACAAATACCCTTTTATCTTTTTCATCTTTTCATTATCTTTATTTTAAACCAACAACCATGTATATATTATGCAGGGTGGGCGACCAAGACCCGAGGGGGTAAATGCTTGGGTAGACTCGTACCCCATCCCTAAAAGGTCCGGGACTTGGTCGGCTCACGTGTCCTGCATAAACCTCTTGGACTTCACAACCCTAAGATTTTGGACCATTTTATCTAGGGGAGTGAATTGGTGATGTCCTCTCCTTCAAAAGTTTTGAATCTATGCCTAGCGTATCTATCACATTTTGTGAGGTAGTGCCTCTGGTAGAATACCCATTTCGAAGAGGTGTCTTCTCAGTGGGCAATGGCCCGTCAGGATACCTATCGGCCTCCTAATTCCCCTTCTTGAGTTAGAGAATAGCCATTTCGATTCTGCTGGTTTGATCTTCTTAACAAACTCCTTCAATTGCCTGTGTCCGGGGGACAGATTCCATTCCTCAAGGAATTGTTTCATACCCCAGTAATTGATACTCTCTTTCGCTGTGCTTATAGAGTGAGGTAATACCGGTTGTGGCCCGACAAACGCAGTATTAGAGCTTTCTTTGGCCAGGCTATCTGCCTCTTCATAGCCATAGATTTTGGACCATTTTATTTCGGGGAGTGATTTGGTGATGTCCTGTCCTTCAAAGATTTAAAATCTAGACCTAGCATACCTATCACATTCTGCAAGGTAGTGCTTTGCCGATTCTTCTTTTATTTCGCAGAAGCGGCAAAAGGGATCTGGTAGGATACCCATTACGAAGAGGTGTCTTCTCAGTGGGCAGTGGCCCGTCCGAATACCTATCAGCCTCCTAATTCCCTTCCTTGAGATAGAGAATAGCCATTTAACCAACAACCATAAAAATAGTGCTATAAAAATGCAATGTATAATAATGTTTACGCTATAAAAATACCACATTGTGTTCTTTGATAATTTTTTCTGGTCTCCACATAAAATTATCATGGCACCAAAATCGTTGAATTCGTTTTACAATACCACGGTCTATGCTTATTTGCCCCACTACAGCGTTGGAAATCGCACTCGACCTTCCATCCATTACATATTTATGCACAAATGGTGGCTTTTGAGAGTGCCACCAGATTCCTGAGATAGAAGGAAATATAGCCTGATGGATATGGAGAGGCGCTGATAAAATGCTGGAGAGAATTGAAATACTTCTGATGGCTGTAACGGTACTTGACAATTCAACTCTTACTAAGCTAAATGTGGAAATCAAATTTTAAAATTCAATCATACTTGATAGGTTAAATACAAACTACACTCACCTTAACGTCGGTTCAGTTTTATTAGACCCTTACTTTACACCCTTTATGGGTTCAATATAGACTCTCGAAAATCTTTCCATCAGTGTGGTCAATAGAAAAATAAGGCTGGTTTCAAGATGTGAATCAGTTGCTTTGTAAATGTGAAATGGTTGCAGAGCTTAATTTAGACAATTTATGTTGGTAAACAAAAAATTGGGTCAGACAGAGTATCTCAGAAGTATTTAAGAGCCCTGGTGAGCCATTTCATCAGGGTGGAGGACATCCGGCATAAAACTGGAATTCTCGTAAGTCTGACTGGCGTAAGAAGGCACATGTACCAAAGGATTACTGGCAGAAGAATCATTACCTAGATTTTGCCAAGAAGAGTAAGGAAACGCACAACACATTCTGTGTTACTGTGGGAGTCTATCCGTAGTAAAGTTCTGATGGTGGGTGAGGAAACACCGCAAAGATGAACCAGTAGATTGATTAACAGCCTAAAGCCGATTAGTGAGCTCTAACAAAAGTAGGAGGATACAATAGATCTTTTTATAGGTCGAAGCGCAAGAACCTTTGTGGTCACCTCTTTTTTTCCTCCTATCTCTATCCGCATTAAACAAATCTGAAATAACTTGATAACAAACATGATGGAAGGCCCAAAAGGTTAAGGATTATAATTTTACTATAAATTGTATATTACAGTTTAGTTTGGTCTATAAGAATCGTTGTGGTATTTTTTTAAAATTATTTTATTTACATTTTGTGTACATACACTATGTTTTTCTAATAAATACAGCACACTCAATAAGTGTGATTAACATGGCATTTGAGGGTGGGTCTTGCCCTATGGCAGTCCACACAATAATTCACTGGAGTATAATAATTTGAGACAGCACAGCTTTGTCATCGGCAAATTGGGCTATTTCGTTGTTGCTATCTGCTGGAAAGTCATGCTCGTACAGAATGTGAAGGAGGGGTCCCAGAACACTTCCTTGAGGAACACCCGCTGAGATGCTTACCTTTCCTAAACTTATAAAAGAGATCTGACAAAAGAGGACATGACCCACACACACTGATGATGAAATTCTGAAAATCTACGATGTGCAGATATGCAGACTAGAATGGGCGGAAATGACGAAAATGCACGTTCATAACCCCACAGGCCCCAAGAGGAAATTACATATACAGATGTGAAGCATGGAGTATGGATGGAGGCGTTATAAACTATTTTGTGTGTGTGTGTATGTTTAACGAGGGTTTGCAAAAGCAGAGGTTATATCAACCCTCAGAGTGCCGGTGTTTTTGAAAAAAAAAGCCTATTAGTAAGTATGTCGGGCTCGAATGCAGGAGCCGGATCCGAACCCGGGACCTTCACATTCCCACAGAGATGAGCGCCGTGTCAACGTGTTAACTTTGCATGATGGCCCTTCCTAGAGTCAGATCCTCCAGGGCCACCTGTCGGCAATACTCTTAATACTTGAGAGCTTCCCTACCGATCCGGTGTTAGGGAAGTGCCGGACTTAGCAGCCTCGTTCGCCTTTTCGTTGTGGTCACAACGGTTTAGGCACTTATCACTGTAAGGTAAAGGTCCCTGGTTCGAATCAAGCGGCCCTGCATTAGAAAATCAAAAACACCCGGGGTTGAAAAAAACTATATCAATCTTAGGTACCAATTGTTTAAAAGTCATACAAAATCAAACGGGTCTATTGCAGTTGCACAGTAGTTGCAAAAGAGCCAATTAAAAAATCGAGTATTGATAAAAAACAAAATGCAGCGGTGAAAGTGATTGATGGCATTCTGCATTTGGTTATTGCGGCCGACAACCGACATCAGCATATACCGTCGTATTTTTTAAAATGATTATTCATTTTTACAAGCTAATAGAATTTGCCATTTTGTACCAGAGCCGGATCGTCTCAAAGGCCAATTATCCGACCTTTGATAATTTATGAATACTTTCTTGTTCGCCTTGGGTACGGAATTAGAAACCTGGCATCGTTATGCCTTTTTTGTAGTAGACAAACGCCACATTGAAGAATTTTCATTTATATTTTATGGTAGTACGTACTACCAAATTTTACACTTTTGAGTTCCCAGAGCAATTATCTTTGGAAGCACTTGTCCTTTAAATTAAAAATTATTCTACGTGTTAATCTTATATTTATAATTTTATTTCTTTTCATTTTTATGAAACTTCTTATTGAACCTGTTTAGGGATGGTTAGGGTGTTTATTATATTTTTGTTATTTTAACGATTTTTCTCTCTAAATGATATTTAGATGAGATTGGTAGTATTGCATGAAGATCTTTTGGTCTTAACTTTTACAAATTACTGTGATTTAGGAATAAATAAATATCCAAATCAATAGCGATGTAGGAAAGTAGACCGACCCGAATCTCAGCTTTGATAAGGGTAAAGCGGACGAACCTGTCTGAGGGTTGCACTAGCTCCTCAGCTCTTTTAAGATCCTCTTAACACGACAATGGAATCGATCGCGCACTTGCTGTGAACTTTGAGCAAAGCTCAACTGTTTTTCTGTCATATGCGATAAATATGCTAACTTCGGGTCTGCCAGCTCTCAGGTACATGGTGTCTTTTCTGCTTATTGGAATGGCATTAAGGTTGACCATCAAATGAAGTATTTAAAAGTTGAGTTTTCCAAATAGTTTAAGTAAATTCTTCAAGTTTATTTTCGTGGCTGATCGTTTCCAGCTAATCTTTTTACCTCAAAGATCTCGATGATTTGCGAGAATTGAACAAAATGAGGATATAGAATGGGAACTGATTCTATTGATTGTAGCATGTTTGTCTACTATGGGTTTGGTAATTCATTGTTGTTTTTTTTACGAGGAATTTTTGGTAGCATGTATAATTGAATATTTTAGGATATCAGACTAAAACAGTCTTGTTCATTGTTACATAGTTGTTAAGTATGAAGTTGGGGACCGCAGTAGTCAAGTTGTGAGCGTCCTATCCCAGTCGTAAGCTCAATTCCCACCGAGGCTCCCAGGATTTTTGAGTCAGTCCCGTTCCAAAAAAAAAAAAAAAAAAAATAATGAAAATATGTAACGAAGCATGGCTTGACACGAAGCCAGCAAAAATGTATTTGAGATATTTGAATGAGGTCTGCGGGGTGATGACCTACGGTTGGCGGTCAGCCTGATCTGCGTAGTCTCTCGGCACGGTAGAACATAAGTAGATGGAGAAAATTCAATTTTAGATAGATACCAATAAAGATCTAACGGATCAAAGAGAGCAAAAAACTAGGTCATGACAATTTGTCAGACGCGACAGACGCGTTTCTACTTCTCGCCATTTTTAGGGGTTGGTCTAAGCAGCCATATAAAATGGACATGGGTGATAAGCAACAACCAAACATCAACTTCATCACCCCGCAGAC